CGTTCAGCTGTGGCTTTTATGTGGACGATTAGACTATTTTTAAATTTTTTTTTATTTCAGTTTGAATAAAAAGCCGAAACCTTCGCGATTGAAACTGTGATCTCTGATTTATAAATACAAATTGCTTTAATTTGGGGTTATCGACTCTGAGTGGGCCAAGTGTTTATTTTTATATACGATAACTGGGGGAGGGAAAAAAGCACATTTAAAGATTTAAGGGGGAAATGCGTTAATGTCGCGAAACCTGAACTGAATTCCATATGCTGAACCGCGTCCCGGGTCATTCAGAGCCGTGCTGGCACTGCATCTGCTTGACAGGCTACATTTGAAATACATATCTGGGTGTTTCAGGGTCTCCTCTCTCGGTATTAATTGACGTCGGGGTTTCAGTAACGGTGTAGCACAAATGTGTAGCTTGCGGGGGATGTGCCAGGCCGTCTCCAGATTTTCTATTTTTTTTAATTTACATGTTTTTTCCTGCCAGGGTCCGTCAACGATATCGGCACTGTTTTATTTATTTATTTAAACATTTGTATTTTAAGTTCCCTTTTATGGCAGAGAAGAAGAAGAAGAAAAAATAAGTGGTAGCAGAAGAAGAAGAAAGTGATGGCGCAGCTTTAATTGTTTTGGCTCTTATTATTGGGGCCTGGGTGGTTTTGAGCCAGAGAAAACGGTGGTTAGAAAATAAGCCGTGCCTTTTACTGGGTGGATATCGGTGTGTTTATGAAACTCGCATTTGTTTGGTCACAGCAGCGGTTTTTTTCCGGGGTCTTTTAAGGGGACGGTTAGTTGAGGTGAAACGACGCAAACTGGTACGTTTGAAGCAGAGCATGTATTTCGTATTCATATTTTTTTTAATTATTATTATTAATAATAATTAATAAATAAAATAATAATAATATCACTGAGTAAACCCCGTCACCTCCGACTGCTAATTGATAATAGGCTAATAATTAAAGCTAAAGGCCACGCGCATGTGGCCCTAATTTAATTTCCGGGTAAGAAGATTAACCCTGAGACACTTTCCATGATGGGTTTATGCCGCTTCGACAGACCTAAATAACCATATAGGTTCTTCCAACACAGCAACATGAAGATTACACAATATAGGCGTAGTGTGGAGCAGCAGATAGTGCAGACATGCAAATGGAAAGCACGGGGTTGCCCCCCCCCCCTCAAAATCTGGGACTTTAGAAAATTCTGCAGTTTTCTTCCTGAAAAATAAATATGCACAACATAAATATGTTTTTTTTTCTTCTACTTCTTCAGCAAGTGAAAGGCAAACAGCATAGCGAAGACAAAATGACTTAAAACTCCTTGTAGTCAAATTTCACTGACATTTGAATGGTGGTTTATTTGCATTTTGGCAAGGTCACCCAGAAAACCTTAATTCCCACTGAAAAGCAGACACACTGGAAAATGCATTCAAGTGTCAGTTATCTCCTCCTGCTACACTAAGTTTGTGCAGGTGGTGATGGATGCAAATATATCTTGACAGTGATGCCAAACACAGTCATACTCCACGGTGAGGTTCTTTTGTTACGTTATCCAGCGATATATCAAACTTTTGGCTGATTGGAGATAAATGTGGAGGTGTGCCGTCCTTCGCTGTGTTAGCAGATGATGGGTGAGCGTCAGTGTTTCATTACGGGCTCTCATTGCTGTGTGGAGGATGTTCAGCCTTGACAGAATGGTGCGATTGTATGACCTTTGACAGTCTGCGGGCCTCTTCTCATGAAATAATCATTTAAAGACTTGCTAGAACTTAAAGTTGACTAACCGTGGTCTTTTCTTCAATGCTTGTCATGTAACAGAGGAATATATCAATTTAAATAATTGCTGAAGGCACCCGTTTAAAGCTGCAACTATCAATTGTTTCCGTTTGATTTTGTCTGTTAAAGCCAGAAACTGTCAAAAAATGACCATTAGAAATACTTGAATTTCTACTGCTTGTGCTTCCCAACCTTACACACTGAGAATTGCTCATTTCAGTCATATATGACAACGGAAACCATCCAGTTCCTAATATTAAATAGATGAACCCAGGCATTTTTTAGTTCTTGTTCTGTACATTTTTGACTCCATCTGAATGTGGCGTCATTTTATTGCATGAGCTCTGGAGTCCTGATCCTCTGCTCTTGGTCTGTGATTCAGCAGCACTTGCACCTTCCCACTATCTGTCTGCTGAGCAGGTGCAGCCCTGACTGACACTCGTTCAGAGCTGAAACTAGTGATTATTTCCATTTATTTCCATTTAGTCTGTTAGATGCCGAAAGCTTGTCTAATGTTAGTTTAATATCATTTATGATAAATGTATCAATACCCCAATTTTTTGCAAAGCTTAGACCCGAAAGTGTTTGGCAGTTTTGCTTCAAGGTGGCCGTTTCCAGATAATTTCCCATGAATTTATCAGCAGATATTTTCAACTCTACATGCATTCTTCATCCTTGCTGACTCCATCTGATTGTGGTGCAGGTCTCCTGATGCTATGTTTCAGGTTTATTGCACTGGTCAGTGATTCAGCACCACCACCTTCACTCAAGCTGCCTGCCAAGCAGATGTAGCCCTGAACAACGTGCTTTACGATGAGGCAACACGGCAGTCATCTCCGCTCCGATACCGAACTGCAGAAACCTCCCAGGGCGGGGGGTGTTCGGGGATACGTACGGAGCCGATTCGGGCTCTGGGATTTCGTCCTCATGCTAGCTGTGCTGCTTAAAAACAGAAAACAAACAAAAACAGCTGAGGCAAATTCTGGTTCCTCTCCTGCCTTCACCCCCACACCCCACCCACCCCTTTAAATTCTGTAACAATTTCTGTATCTGTGCCTCTAAATCATCTCGTCATTCATTTTGCGAGTGTGCAGCGAGAGGAGGAGTGTGGCTGCCCGGGTTTGTTTCTCCCTCTTTGTTTGCTGTGGTAAACCCATGAGCAGCTGCCGGTGGTGGGGTCTGGAGGGATTCTGAAGCTGTGTGTCCTCTCTCTCGCTTTGCCATCCTCTGCCAAGGTGGCATTATGCGAGCAGAGAAAGGGGCAGAGAGAGGGAGCGGGAGACACAGAGGAGGTGAGGGCGGTGGGGTGAGAGGGAGACGAAGCAGTGGCGGCCATAGTAAAGATGGAGGCAGGCTGAGGGCTGTGGGGATTGGTGCAGGAGAAGGCTTGCTCCCCTGAACTTTGCCTCCGTGTCAGAGAGGAACTTGTCGATTTGGCAGATTGTGCAGCGTCGGACATGGCTGCGCGCTCCCTTACACTCCCACCTGCTCCCCCCACCCCCTCCTCACTCTCTCTCCCTCTCATTGCCACTACCCCTCCCTCCCCCCTTCCCACCCTCTCTCCTCTTTCTCTTTTCCCTCCCTTTCAGCTCTTGAAGCTAACGCATTGGCTGGGCTACAGGCATCTTGTTGCCAAATAGGTGGGCCCTACTCGTGTTGGCAAAGGCTCAAGCAATGGTTAGGGAAAGAACGCGGAGAGGACGAGAGACGGCGAGCGAGAAAGAGAAAGAGAGAGAGTTGGAGAGAAAAGGGGAAAAAAGAAGCAGCACTCGGCTTTGCCAGCGGTCGTATGCGCTCATCCAACATTGATTCGGCTCTCTGTTTTTTTCCTCCCTATTCTGTGCTCTGCTCTCCCTGGCCCCCCCATCTGTGTGTGTGTTTGCGAGAGAGTGTGTGTGCATGCGCGCGCTCGTGCCGGGCCCGGGATCAGAACAGACACCACCACCAATTAGGTTTTGCCAAGGATTTTTTTTTCCTCCGAGATTTTTAAAAAAAATTTGGAACTCACAAAGGACTGTTGAATTTTTGTTCTTTTTTTCGAATACATTTATTCTCGCTGTTAACGTCTTTTTCTAATCATTTTTTCTAACATTTACATTTTTACCTGTTTATTATTTGTTTTGCTCCAACTTTTTGTCCGTCCTTTTTTGTGTCATTTTTGGCTTTTGTCTCAAGAACTGCTGGCTAGCGTCCTACTGCAGGACTCCCTTAAAATCTTTTTTGGTGTGTGTGTGTGTTTTTAAACTTGAGTCCACTGTTTGTGCTCAGCAGCGTGTTCTGCAAATTTTAAAAAATTATAACCCTCCCCACCCACCCCAAGTTTTTTTTTCTTTTCTTTTTTTCATCTGCTAATTCTCCACACCCTGCCAAAACCAGCGCTTGCTTTACATTGGGGAGCGCGGGAGGAAAGAGAAAAAAAAACTGGTGCAGGAGATTTTTTTTTCACTTTAAACGCTGTGCCAAATTTATGATGAGAGTGCAAAATGGTAACTACCAGGCCGTCTGTCTTCCTCTAGCAGTGTGGTTTTCTGTGGTGATTTCTGTCTGCTTTCAGTTTGTTGTGGAAATGTGAGTCTGGTTGGAGCTCCCTTTGTATGGTAGCGCAGATAGGAAATGGTATGGCTGATCTTTTAGCGGCACATTTCAACAGTGGTCTAGTGGCGGCAAAGCTTGGCGGTGGTGAGCGACCGGTGTGTGGCAACCCTGGCACAGGAACGCTGTGGCGAGATCTGGGCTTTGTTGCCCAGAGATATGTAGTGAAGGTATTATGGTACAGCAGAATAACTTCTCTTTTTACAGCAGGAAAAGCGGGAGCGCAACTTGGCTCAGTTTTTCATCTGAATTCGTGAACTGTCGTCTTTTCTTTATTGTCTTGAACATTTTATTTTTGAAATGCTTTGTGTTATACCTTTGCATGCTATTGTAAGGATGATTTTTTCCTGGTTTTCCTGCATGCTTTATTTTTATTTGAGTCTGAATGTTGGAAATGAGAAATAATTTTAACATTTTAATGGCAGTTATTTGAATAGCTTTTTGATTTGAATTTAAATTAATTGATAATCATCAGAATTTTCATTATTCCCACAACACGTTTAGTATTATTAAACATTTTGGCATTTTCATTAAAAGTTTTGAAAAACCTCTAATTTTACAACTTAAAAAAAAAGGCATTTAAAAAAAAACATTTTTTACAGCCTCCTAACGCCGCATCTTTTTCTCTCTCATCAGGATGAATTTCATCCCTTCATTGAGGCCCTTCTCCCCCATGTCCGTGCCTTCTCCTACACCTGGTTCAACCTGCAGGCCCGTAAACGCAAGTACTTCAAGAAGCACGAAAAGAGGATGACCAAGGATGAGGAGCGCGCGGTGAAGGATGAGCTGCTTGGGGAGAAGCCAGAGATCAAGCAGAAGTGGGCCTCGCGCCTGCTGGCCAAGCTCCGCAAGGACATCCGGCCTGAGTTCCGCGAGGACTTTGTGCTCACCATCACGGGGAAGAAGCCCCCCTGCTGCGTGCTGTCCAACCCCGACCAGAAGGGCAAGATCCGCCGCATCGACTGCCTCCGCCAGGCCGACAAGGTGTGGAGGCTGGACCTGGTGATGGTCATCCTGTTTAAGGGCAGCCCCCTGGAGAGCACGGACGGCGAGCGTCTGGTCAAGTCACCCCAGTGCTCCAACCACGGCCTGTGTGTCCAGCCACACCACATTGGGGTGACGGTCAAGGAGCTGGATCTCTACCTGGCCTACTTCGTCCACACACCAGGTATGTGATACCTGTAGAAGAACCGTTTTTCCCACCGTTTATGTGGTTGTTATACACACACATACACACAGGTCATGTGTTTTGTCACACACTCTTTGGCATGTAAGTCACAGATTAGACCCTGCCCTCCACTATGTACCAAGCTGATCTAGTGCCAGGCTTTGATAAACCCAGTCAGCACTGAGATAAAGACCACGTCTTGATATTTAAAGTCTGCAGCGTATAGTCCTAAAAAAAAGTTTTCCTCTCAATGTTTCTATCTGGTTTAAAGAGATTCAGAGAATCTGACAGTCAGGCTTAAAACCTGTGTTTACCTAGAGATATGTTTGCATTGGTACATTTGTTCAAGTATTTGTGCACAAATTTGTCTAAATCCAAATGTGCATGTTTTTCAGTGCCATCTGTAAACAAAAGCATCTGCAAACCTGTTTATCTGTGTGTGCACGCATGTGCACACGTGTGCGCGCACGACAGGCAGTTTGTCATGTGTCTGTAATCCATGTGTGTTGTGGGGTTGTTGTGTATCAGTAGCAGTGTGGTGTTTTTGTGGGTTTCTTTTGTGTGTGTGTGTGGTGGTCTGGAGAGCGCAGTGACAGCTGGCCCAGTCCCAGGTAGTTTAGGAGGCAGAGAGAGAGTCAGCCTGTCTGCAGCCTCAGCCTAACGCCACACACACACACACACACACACACACACACACACACACACACACACACACACACACACACACACACACTCAAGTGGACAGACTCTCGCTCAGGAGCTCTCGATCAAACACCCAAGCTGCGCCTTGCGTTGTTCTTCTGAGCGAACTGATCACACACACAGTCACACACACGTTTGTGTTTACAGCAGTGAGACGTTTCGCGTTTACATCCACACGTGTTTTCTGCTGTGATGGTGAAGTTGAAATAGAGGCGGTAAAAATATTTTGGTGTAACATGTATACAAAGCCACATGTGTACTCGTGTGAGGGCAGCGATCAACGCTGTGAAATATAATATTTGCATGTCTCATTTTGTTGCACTTCACAGCTGTAGTTATTTCAACCTAATTTCATTTCTCAGGTAATTTTAGGAATGCAAATCCACTTTGGAAAATAAATAGCAACAAATGCTGATCTGGATATAAAATTATTAAATATGTTGTAACTACTTTTGCAAAAAACAAAAACATTTAAAAACATAGATAATTATATTCTGTTCAATTAAATTCCATTTAATTACTGCAGTGAGAATTTGATGTGCCTGAAGCTTAATTTTCCTGACACAAGTGAATTTAAATTGTCCTTTTAAACACACTAATGTTTAAAAATGTCTCTATTAGAATATAGTAGTAATAGTAGTAGCACTCCTGTTGTAGATGCCTGAATGTGCTGGATGATTTATAGTATAATTTAGGCTAATGTATTTATAATTGAAGCCCAGCTTTACCACTGTTAGCTGTGATTACAGTTTTAGCCACATTCATATATAATTTGGTCTATTTTATATATTTTATTTGTTGTCGTCACTTGATGTAGCTGTCTGTTTCTGTCAGGTGTTTGCAGGTGTAAATCATCTCACACACACACACACACACACACACACACACACACACACACACACACACACACACACACACACAGTCACTCTCCTCTTCTTCAGCCATTTCCTATTATCTCGGGCTCTCTTACGACAGACTGGCATACAGTTACAGGGCCTTAATTCTTCTCCTTGGCAGGGAGGTGCAGCGTTCCTCTGTGACAGAATCCCCCATGCCAGGCTCCTTTCAGCCCAGTGTGTAACTCTGCTTGAGTTTTGCGGGGCCTCCGTGAGCGCCCCTTCCTGTTCCACAATGTGGCATGGCAAACCGCGGCTCAGATTAGCTCCCAGCGCAGCCTGGTGCTCCTTAGAGTTTTTTTCCCTGACAACTCTGTGCCAGAATCCAGCAGCCGCTCGCCCCCATCGATGCGATGCACTAGCCCGTCTCCTTTCTGGCCTTTGTGCATTTCATTAGTATTTCATCTTATTTGTACACATGTGAGTATTTTTCCATAAATCTTTATGGGATTTCTTTTCTTTCTAATCTTTTTTTTAAGGCCAAGTGGCTTGTATTTGGTTTACTACTGCATGTGAGAGAAGCAGCGCTGCTTTTTCCGTGCAGCCACCTTGCACTAACAACTGGTCAAGAATGGGGAGAATGTGTGCGGTAACTAAAATGAAAAAGCGTCCACCTTTTGTAAGCGCAAGTCGCTGTGTTGTTCCAGCATGCTGGCGCGGGTTAGCCAGAGGACAGGCAGACAGTGGCTCCATTCTAACCTTTGGGGTGGCAGCGTTACAGTTTTATTCTTAGCTCCCCTTCCCAGGGTGTCTGTGTCTTGCGGAAGTTATCAGTTGCTAGGCCCGATGATTGGACCGCAGCCGTCTCACCCAGCTCGTCCCCGCCGTCGTGTTTCAGCTCTCTCGTCCCCACTGATGTCACTGTCGCCAGCTGTAAGGCGGGGGGGTGGATCTGCTTTCATGCGGCGTGATTGACACACACATACACAGTCACACGCACGCTCACTAACCCCCACCCCCCCTCTGTTTCTGCTTCCCTACAGTACAGTATGTGTCTGCTTTTGTCCAATTATAGACTTCGGCCCTCGCAGGCGGGGCAGGGACAGATCAAAGCTGATGGACTCTGATCTGCACTACTGCACCACAGCTTCAAGAGCAAGGTCCCGCTAATCACAAAACGAGCCTGATCATTTTCTTTTTGACAAGTACCTGCCTGCACACAAGCGCAGAGCATGACATAATTGTCAGGCAGTAACGAGAGTCGGATCCCAAAAGTGGTTAATTTTCTTTTCACTGATTGTGCTGCATTCGATGGCAGCAGTAATGGCTCAGGGATGTGGAGGAAGCAAGGGAAATCGGGGATGAGGAAGAGGTGGGGTGGTGGGTCTGATCTCATCTTTGATCACGTGTCTGTCGAAAAGGAAAGTCTGGCTCGCCAGTTGGGCGCTGCGGGCCGTCCTCCACCTAGAGACGCCCGGCTCAGGTCATGTTTTTTCGAGCGACGTGTTCCATATTTGTCCGTCTGACGAGGCTGCACAGTTCCAGCATTAGTCATTTTTGGAGCCCGATCAGCCTCATACGGCTTTCATTACTTGTGCTGTTATGATAAAAAGATGTTTCTGCAAGTGCAGCCTCCATATCTGGTCTCTGTGCTGGAGACAGACAGACCAGAGAGGTGCCCGGGGCAGGTCCGAAAGCCAACTACGCGTGCCAGACAACGCCGTATCTCCATGCTGCTATGGCGCAAACACAAATCCGAGACATTCATTTACCCATCAGTGTGTCTTTGTGCGTCGTCGCGACATTACAAATGACCAAGAGAATCTCTTTTAATAGAGACAAACAAAGAGACAGACAGCCAGACTGAGAGACTTAACGCCTCCACGTCATGCTAAATCCATCAAACACATCTTATCTGCTTCGCCCAATATCCTGAGCTTCAAAAAGGAGGTAAAATTATCAGATGCAGTTACATAATAAAGAAAAAAAGCAAACAGGAAAGAGTGGGATTTGTTTTATTACACACAAGCTCGGTCCATAGAGGCAATACGCTGGAATATTAAAGCAGAAGTAGCAGTCGTGTTATGTTTGCCGTTGGCTGAGTGTTTGCAGAAGCAGAAGAGAAGGAGGAGGTGTAATGGTTAAAGCAGGAAAAATACTCTGTCTTCTCTTTCTTGGATCTGCGTGTTGCACAGAACAGAGATTTCTGGATGGAGCGCAGAATTGCGCTCCAGCGTTCTGGCACGGCTCCGTAACCCGGGCCGACGGAGGAACAGAGAGTGTCGGCGCCGAGGGAGCCGCATTCATGTGGCGTGAAAAACACTGCTGCTCCGACGCTTTCAACGGAAACTTTCTTGCGCTTTGTTGTCATTTGAAATAATGCGTCCAATAAAGTTTGAGCATCTGCAAGCCCCTCTGACATGACAGCACAGCGTCAGTGACGCTGCCGCGTTTTAATGTGCGCTGTGGCGTCCGGGCCTATTTTCAGAACCCCTCGTTTTTCCAGCTTTTTTTTTTTAATGCGTGCGTGTGTCACAGAGAGGAAAAGTGAAAAGAAGAGGGGAGTGTGCGGAGTGTAAGGAATCGCTGGTAAAAGGATTACTCCGTGCAATCGGGCTTCCGAGGCGGTTGCGCTAATGCTCGATCCTCTGACCTCCTTTAACCGTTCTCCCTCACATCTCTCCCCGTTCTATAGGTCCGACCGCCGTGCTGCTCTATGGGCTTGGGAGCAGGCCAACCTGCTTCATATTCACTGTAATTATCCAGTTTAGTGAATAATCCTGGAAAAGATACACAAAAGGCTGAGTGTATGATTGAATTATGTGCAATTTGAAATGAAGGTCGGGTCTTAACTTCGGGAATAGAAAAATTCCTTGTAGCAGAAAGTGCAACAAAGAGTAGCTTTATTTCCTAATTTCACTGTACAGTGGTTTTTAATTATTGGTGTAATTAAGGTTAATAAATAAAAGCCATGGTGTCTGTTTAGCAGCTTAGCTCACTTTTTTGGATTTAACGAGCAGAAATTTATTTAATTCTCAAGAAATTAAATGACTTAATAATATGGATTAATGAGTAGAGTAAACAAAAGCAATAAAAATAAATAGGCTATTCAGCTTATTGAGCTTTATTTTTACTTCACAGCTTCTTTGCTTTCCTCTACAGAGCAAACACAAATTAGACGTCTCCCCCCATGTTTCTCCTCCGTGTATTATTTTTCGTCTCTTCAGTTCCACTGTTTTGCATTTGCATGACCGATCTTCTCTTTTCTCTGTGCAGGCGCCAGGCTTGAAGTCTGTCCATCCGCTAAAAACATAGGTATCCCCGCACAGGAGCTCTGGCTGCTAACGCCTGAGCCGAGGGGCAAAGAGCAGGAGGAGCGGAGAAGTGATGTGTAGAAAGGACGGAAAAGAGCGAAGCGAGCGTCTTTTTCTGGGCCATTTCCCAGCAGCCAGATTCTGATCG